GAAGTTTAGAAGACACACTATGTGCATCAGTTTCTACCTTGAACAGAATTGTCACAGGAATGTTGTAGATGCATGCATGCATGTATCATAAACACTAACTGTATGCCCAGAATAACATCTTTTACAAGGCTTTGTTTCATTACCCATGATGCAATTTAGGAGACTATACCAACTGCAGCTTTGGGAGTGCTAACTGCCTAATGGGCAGGTGCATAACCTGTGGTTATATATATAGATAGGACATGAACTAGTAGGCTGAGGAATCACTGATAGGGCTGGATGGCATGATTTATATTTGCTTCAATCAAATTGTTTGAAACCTTTTAAAATAATTAACATATTAGACAAATATGTTATGGCTAAAAAAGCTTATGGGATTTGTAGTGTTCAAAGAGGTATTTTCCCCTCCATACCCAAATTAAACTCAGCATTTTGTAATGTCCTATAAGACGACCTTGAAGGACAGGGTACAGATACATAAAAATACCTAAGACTCTCCTGCTAAACTCTAGTTAGATGGTAACTCTACCTAGTAAGTCAGTTGTTGAGGATGGAGAGAAAGAGATAATGGAATGCCACACTTCATAAGGGTTTTATTTTTATATTTTAACTTAAAACAGGGCTAGACATAGAGGAATGGAAGCTTGCAGCAAATTTAAATATGGAGGAAAATTGAGGGAAGGTGGCAGCTGTTTTAAAAAGAGAAATTTCTATAGTATTGAACTGCTACCAAAAAATCCCATGAAAGGTCAGATTTAGTGGAAATCCTGGGGAAAAAATCATGTTGCTGATTTTTACATCATGAATAATTTCAACCTCCCTTCCATGTTTGCCATCACTGAAGATGCTACAGTTAGCAATTACACATGCTATGGGCAAGTTGCCTTTCTGCATTACAGAAAGGCAACATTAGAGAGACAATGGCTCTCTAATATGCTGGGACCAACATGGTTTTCTGAAAATAATTTGCTTTCATTTAATAAAATAGATTATTTTAAACGGCAAGAGATTATTTCCCCCTATATCAGGACACTTATAAATGAATTTGAATACTAAGTAATGTCCAGCAAGACTTGCATTTGAATTAGATTAATTTAAAACCTTACAAGAAAAGTGTATTCATTTAAGGGTTTATGGCAGCAAGTTAGCTATGTGTCAATTGTCCTTGATCATTACCTAAAAGAGTTAATCTCACAGCAAGCACAGGAAATACAGTTCTGTAGTGGGTTGGAGAATATTTCAGGGGATTTACTGTTTTAATACCTGTTTGTGCAATTTAAACAAGGTGTAAGATTATGGATTTTAACTGAGATAATGATTCGTGAAGGTTATGCATTCTTTTATAGAGACATTAATCAGAAATTTGACATTTTCTTTTCAAACAAGAATAACCTCTTAATTTCTTTTGCCTTGAAAAGAACTGACCTCCCTGAGTATAGCTTGATTTATAACCCCAGTTGACTAATGTGCTAATCTTTCTGACCAATTATTTGTGGATTCTTTAGACCAATATTTGTAGAAGTTGTAGAGGTTAGTGGTACTGTTTCTGGGGAGCACGCAGAAAAAGAGGGGCTTTTACTAGGTACAATAGCTAGTAATACAACACAATAACTGGAAGATATGGAAACGAGACAGATTATGCCTGAAAATCATTTTATATAATAAAAGTATTACACTAGATCAGTGGTTTTCAACCTTTTATTCATTTGCGGACCCCTAAAAAATTTCAAATGGAGGTGCAGACCCCTTTGGAAATTTTAGACAATCTACGGAGCCCCAGGGGTCTGCAGACCACAGGTTGAAAACCACTGCACTAGACTGAATGTTAAAATGGAAACCAAACAATGCAATATCAAAGACATTCTCTTTCCCTCTAAATAACAAATGTAAGCACAAACAACCCAGTTTGAAAAAAAAGAAATCCTCCACTAAAGACACTTTCTTTGATACATCAACCAGGTTTCATCATTTTCCAAGCAAAATCTTGGAAAAAGACATCTACAGTATCTAATCACCACACCAAAAATAATTGCCTTAATCGTTTCCAGTCAACCTTCTATGCACAATACAGTACAGAAGCCAGCCTTCTGTAGGTTACAGAGTGCTCCCCTTGGTCTACGCACATACCTCTCACTGAGAGTTCCACCATGAGCTGAAGACATTATTTGACCTTTATGTGGCAAATCAAATGATCTTTCCGCATCAGACCCTGAATCACTTTTCTTCATCTTAGGGCTGTAGTGGATATAATCAGCTATAACATTATTTTTGATCACCGGATACAGTTCCATTTCTGGAACTTTGTTCTCAGGTTTCACTCTTATTCAACTATGCTTATGTGTGAATCCCACTTCTACATTCCACCACTACAATATCTCCCTGGATCCACATCTTGACTTCTTTCTCTTTTCTAAATCATCATCTCTGGCCATCTATTTTCTGAAATCATATGTGGATATGATTTCCAGTTGCTAGTTGAAAAATGTCAATTGTTTTTTCATAAGAAATTACAGAGAGAGTGGAATTGTTTTATTCAAAATACCCTGCAAAATGTTTTCTTTTTTTTCAAACCATAAACTGAAATATTTTATGGTTTTCAAAAACTGTTCTCAGTAATAATTTGTAATTTTAGGTAAAACTCTTTCATTTTTCAAAAACTAAACAAAAAAAACCATTTTTTTTAAAGATTAACCAAACGTTCTAATCTAGACCTAAAAATTTTCAGATTTTGGTTTACAGTTTTTCATTGACTTGCCTGTGCAAATTTTCTTTTTAGTCCAAAAGCCATTTTTCAAAGAATTTTTTTTACCAGCCCTTGTACACACAAATCTGTATCACCTTCACTATTTCAACCATGTCTTCATTTTCTCTTTCTATCAAACTTATCTACTTCTGAGTCTGATAGGACTGAATTCAACTCAGTGTATCCAAAACGACTATCCTACTCACTGGAAAGAAAAGCCATCTTAGCCAAATCTTCAATGCTTCCCTCTCCATCTTCTATTCAAACGTCACACTATCTTGGCAGTCAGGAACTTAGATTTCTGATTTAGACCCAAAATCCTTTTGTGCCCCATATCACCTAGGTCTGTCTACAGTCAAATTAGAATCATCATCTCATACAGGCATATTTGACGATGATTCAGACAAAGCTTTTATCAGACTTAGTTTGCTCTCATCCTGGCTCCTGTAATTTATTCCTTTATTGTCTCTTTATATCTTTACTTTTCAAACCTCAGTGACTCATCTCCCCATCCAGACCTGTAAATAGGAACAAATCTTTGCCAGTCTCCAAAATCTTTACATCCATTTCAGAATCTAGTGCAAAAGTCTCTCTTAGATAGCAAGATTCCCTGAGCCTGTAGAGTTCCTCCTAATCTGATTAGAACGTCTCAGAAATTCCCTGATGGAAGGCTGATTGATCATCAAAGAGTTATTTTTTATGGAAAATATTCAATTTCAGTGAACTTGTGATGAAACCCCTCCTGCCTGGCTTCCTACTGGCTCATCTGTCCAGCTCCTGACTCTTTGGCAGCCCAGCGGATAGGGAGCCAAGACCCTGGAAGCTATCCTGCTTAGCCGGGGTCCCTACATTTCCAGGCTCCTGACTGATTTGCAGCTCCCCAGGCAGTCTGATGGGGAGCCGGGAGCCTGGGAGTACTGGTTCCCAAGCTCTCAGGTTTGCAGATCTTCAGCAGATGGGGCTCTCAGGGTCTGCTTCCGGGGACGGCCCCAGAACCAGGGCTCCGTTTCCTTTTGTGGAGAATTTTGAAATGTTTGGTTTTCATTCCAGATGTAAACAAAACTAATTTTTAAAATATTGAAATGGTCCATGAAACAGAATCACCTTTCTCTGCACAGTGCTATACTTTTCTGTTCTTTAGCTCATTCCTATGGACAGCAAATGCCAAATATCTTTCTATCCTCCCTCCTTACCCCTCCACAGTTGGTGGACAATACTGCTCCAATGCTGTCCTATGCTATGCTCCTCATCTGTAACAGTTTCCATGTCTTTCTCCACTCAACATTGATTATAAATCCTCTTTCCCCTAATCTCACCACACCCTCTCTCAAACAAATAAATCCAACTTGAGTCTTTGGTGCTTCTCCAAGCTCATTCATTCTCCTTGAAAATTCTTCATAACACCCTCTCCAACTCCTCTACCACTACTACCACTCTAATTTTACTGTCTAAAAGTAATCAGTGAAATGCTAGTTAGATTTTTAAAATGCTTACAGTTGTAGTAAGCTAAAATATTATTAACAATTAAGAACTTTTTATTTTTGTAAGTAGGATTTTTATCCTCTCAATGTCCTTTTATAGATAGCAGTACAAGATGCACTCTGTATTCTATTTAATTGGCATTGATGTTAGGCTTCCCCTCGTGTGCAAAGGAAGGAGAGAGCTTTTTGTTCAATGGTCCAAATACAGTGTTGCCAACACGATTTTATTGCAAGTTCTGTGATATTTGGTGATTTTTCTTCAAGCTCCAGCACCCAAAAATCAACTGATTACATGATAATTTCAGGTTTCATTTTTTAAAAAGTATATTGCTCGCCTTCATGGTTGTGGAGAAAAGCTTGAAAATATGACCCAAATGTACCCTAAAGGCTCAGAAATCAAATAAAAAGAACCCAAAATGTAATTTTAAAAAAAATCACTTATTTTTAAGCCAGTCTCTTGATTTTTGGGGTCCTGTCTCATGAGTTTTGAATGCTTTGAGTTGGCAATACCTGATTCAAATACATTTTTCTGATTTAAAAAAATCCAACCACACCATGTCTCCATATCCAGAAAACAGCATTGAACCTGGGTATATCTGTGATGCTTGAGTGGAAAAAATGTGAATAGACCACATGCCACCACCACAAACAGATCTGTCCTCCCAAAACAAGACACATGCTCCTCTCTCCTGCTCCGAAATCACAGCTTTGCATGGATTTTCATGTTTATCTTTTGAAATGCTTACAATCAACAGAAGTTCCACATGTTTACTTACCACCGGTCTGTGTACATCCCAAAATGCTCGCTCCTGGCTATCAAGGATTTTCCTTTCTATCTTGTCTCTTTTCTTGTCCACTCTGTCAATGTTGCAGTATATTTAAGACAAACAGCATTAATTGTAGTGCATTTACAAACAGTCAATGACAAATCCAGCAATAAAACTTCAAAGGAACTCACTTTGCTTGTGCTTCAGCTTGCATAAAAATAAACTCCCACTTCCTGGCAAATGATCGCTGTAGCCTGGCCAAACTCTCCTGAAAATACAGTATAAACAAGTTTAACTGTGCTTTAAGTTATTCGTTATCTAACAGTTTTTAGACTGTCTTCAAAACCTCCAAAAGATGATGTTGCACTCAAAAGCCATAATGCACAGGCTAGTGTAAATGTAGTCTATTTATTTGGTGGAAAGTGTCTGACATAGTACAGGATAGACCACAAAGTCTACATTATCTGTGCCCCCATCTCTTTAAGGTTTGGAACTCTGTTGAAAGGTCTGGACACAGCTCTAGTGAGTTGCAGTGGTTGCTGCAGAGTTTGGCACTTCCAGAAAAACACACCAGCAGCAACTTTTGTGGGTGTGTTGGTTGGTTGATTATTCCAAATATTTCAATGAAATGCTCCAACTTTAAACCTAGCCAGCTCTGGAAATGTAGCAATGACATTAGCTTGATACTGCCACTGATTCACACTAAAACCTCCATTTGTCTTCTACATGAGCTGTTTGTGTTGTCTAGTACAGAGATGACTTTAGCTGGAACATTAGAAAGACATTTTGGGAATACAAACTTCTTCTAAAGAAAATTGGTCATATACTTTTAAAAAAGGTTTGCAGACTAAAGCTGTCTATTATTGTATAGAAAATTATTTAATAATATTTTTATGAGACTTGGCATAATTCTGCACTCAGATATGCTGGTAAATCTTGAGCAACTCCACTGGTTGCAATAGAATTATTCTGGATTTTCATTAGTGTAAATGGAAGCATAATTTGGTCTACTGACTTCAAGGGAGTTTCAGGTACCAATTTCTCTCAATGCCCCCTTTTTGTGTTAATTATAGTGAGGTTAACTAAAAAATGTCTGGGAACTTGGCATCAAATAATCGGACTGCAACTGTATTATATATTTACTGCAGAATAGTAAAGGGATATGTCTTCACAATCCCATCAATAACCCACATAATCTTATAAAGATACCATGGGCCATGCTCATCCCGCTGTAGCTCTTTTGGCTTTAGCAGAGTTACAGCAGGGCAAAAATTGGCCTAGTATCTTTAAAACTAAGAGTACAATTTTCAAAAGCACCAAAGTGACTTCAGAGCCCATTGAAAATATATGGGTCTTAGACACTTAAGGCCAGATGTCTAAAGGTATTTAAGTGCCTAACTCCCATTGATTTCAATGATTACCTTTTAAAATCTGGCCATGTCTATGTCAGTTTTGAAAATGGGACTTAACTTTTCATTACTTGAGTCCTTTTGAAAATTTTAAGCTAGATCTTTAAATATATAATTGGAAGCCTTACACACTGTAGTACAGTTCTGACAAACATTGGGACATATTTGTTTCCGACTGCATGAGATTGGTGAACAGTTCACCTGATGCTGGGGAAAGGATCTGTGCACAATTAGATTAGAGATGGGCCCAAGTCTTAGTTCCCAAACACCCCTGAACTTTGGGGAGATATGAATTCAAACTTTGCAGCTGGCCCCTCTCTAGGGCTTGTTGCACCAACAACCTGGATCCCAGCACCCCAAAACTATGGGAACATTTGGGATTTGTTTCTCTCTCTATTCATAATGCACCAACCCAATCTTCATTGTTTAATATAATACAGCAGGAGCTCATGTACAACAGCATTTATGGATTCTGAAATATTAGCACTTGAGTGCCAGTTGTCACATACCTAGACGCAAGTTTAAACTGCTCAATGTATAAACCACTGCACTATAAAAATGCTGTGGCCTTTGTTTCTAATGTTATCCTACATTCTGCTGAGCTTGGAAATCTCATTTATTTGACATCTCAGTTCCAGGAAAGGCCCACCTACTTACTGCTTCATAGTCTGCTAGCTCAAGCCGTGCTTTGTTTTGCATTGTTCGCTTGCAGAGGTAAACCGCTAGAACACAAAAAAAAAAAATCAATCAATCATTTCTTGCTATTTCATAAACATCAGAGCCCCAGAAATCAAGATCTCAAGGTTTCATCCACATTCCATTGACACAGACTGCTAGATTTTTACCTCTGTGTTTCTCCCTCTATAGCAGTGTCGGATTAGCCACTGGGCCAACGGGGTCCATGCCCAGGGCCCTGGCCAGTTGGGGGGGGGCCCAGAAAAATGGGCACTCCTGGCACCTCAACCCGCTCCGCCTGCCCGGTGCTCCTGCTGGGAGGTGGGGGCTTGCCCAGCTCCTCCTGCCCACCCGGTGCTCCTGCAGTCCCCACATCCCGACCCGACTCCCCTGCTGGAGCGCCAGGGCAAACCTCCACACCCCAGCCCCATTTCCCCGACAGAAGCGCCGGGAGGGGGAAGCAGGGGACTGAAGGCAGAAGGAGTGGGGAGGGCCCCCCCACTTGCTCTGGTCCAGGGACCCCACAAAACCCTAATCCGCCCTTGCTCTATAGTCAATTTTTTTTAGAACAAGGGGGTCAATACATACAATGGTATTTTTATTGAAGCGTAGCTTCTGCCAAAGTGATTAATGGCATAATTATTTAGCTCTCTTTACATTATAGCAGTAATAAACAAAACCTTGGAGGTGAGGTTTTGTTTTTGTTTTGCCAGGAACTAATTTGTTAAAAAGCTAAATGGCAACTTATCTTTAAAGTATTGCATATGGACTAAAAGAGGTTTATCAAGAGGTGTTGTCCTATTTCACTAGTAGAAGAGTTTTCTTTATTGTTTATTTATACACTATTATTTTCCCATTGCATAGACACCAATCCACATCAACAAGAGAAACTCACAATTAAAAAGAAAAAGAGAACAATACAAATAAAAAATAAAGACTCAAAGTATCACTCCCTATGGAAAATATCTATAAGAGGAAATAATGTGGGAGTGAAAATGAAAAAGTAGGAGCATATCTTTACATACAACATTGGGAACAAATTTAGTCTTATTTACATTGGGGCAAATCCAAAGGAATTGCACTGACTTCGGCAACGTTGTTCTGGATTCACACCAGTGTAACTGAAAGGAATTTTGCCAAATATATTACAAGCAACAAATGCTGAAAAGAAATGGGTTGAAAAATCAAACTAAGGTGAGACAGAGGACAGATGTTAGCATCACTCACTAAGTCATTACATTAATGGCTTGATCCTCCAGAATGCTTTATGCATCCAAAATTTCTATTGAATTAAACTGCAAATCCTATTCTTTTCATTTAGGGGCAAATCCTATCCTTCATTTCAAGCCTGAGTAACTGGATTTAGTACAGGTGACTCCTCCAGAAATGAGATGTAGGGTGGGGCAGAATTTCCCCTCACAAGGCTGAAGAGAAACATCATAACCTTTTCATGCCTCCACAGCCCCAGCCCCAGCCCTCTGTGGGGTAGCATGGCCTTTTGATTTGATTTGTATAGTCAAGGATCCACCAACCCCATCCACGGACTCTGTGCTGGGGACATAGAGCCCTCACAGAGCTAGGCTCCGATATATTCTGAGGGAAGGAATCCTGGCCCACCCATCCCCATCCCTAGATAGAAAAATGCATTTCCACTGCTGGCACAGATAGGAAAGATTTGTGTCTAAGAACTCAATCCTACAGTCCCTAGACAAGCAAAAGTCCCTTGCACCTAATCTAATCTTGTATTTTAAGGAGGCCAAATCAATAATACTTAAGATCCCCAGAGACAAAATTCACTTCAGACAAAAGAATAAATCTTAAAAATAGTTTCAGTCTGACTTTCTCCCTCTGCTCCAAGGCATTCCATTATTTCACTAAAACAACAAGGAGTCCGGTGGCACCTTAAAGACCAACAGATTTATTTGGGCATAAGCTTTCGTGGGTGTCAGGGTTTCTTCCACACTCTGAACTCTAGGGTACAGATATGGGGACCCGCATGAAAGCCCCCTAAGCTTATTTCTACCAGCTTAGGTTAAAACCTGGTACGCTGCCACCACCAAGTGATTTAACAAGAACCATTTGGAGTTCCTCTTCCCCCAAAATATCCCCCCAAGCCCTTACAGCCCCTTTCCTGGGGAGGCTTGAGAATAATATCCTAACCAATTGGTTACAAAGTGATCAAAGACCCAAACCCCTGGTCTTTGGACAATGGAAAAATCAGTCAAGTTTTTAAAAGAAGGATTTTATTAAAAAGAAAAGGTAAAAATCATCTCTGTAAAATCAGGATGAAAAATAACTTTACAGGGTAATTAGATTCAAAGAGCCCAGAGGAATGCCCTCTACCCTTAGTTTCAAAGTTACAGCAAAACAGGGATACCTCCTTCTAGCAAAGGGAACATTCACAAGTTGAGAAAAACAAAGATAAACTAATACGCCTTGCCTGGCTATTACTTACAATATATGAAAGACTTGTTCAGAAAGATTTGGAGAGCATGGATTGATGTCTGGTCCCTCTTAGTTCCAGGAGCGAACACCCACCAAAACAAAGAGCACAAAACGAAAGCCTCCCCCCCCGCCCCCCAAGATTTGAAAGTATCTTGTCCCCTTATTGGTCCTTTGGGTCAGGTGTCAGCCAGGTTACCTGAGCTTCTTAATCCTTTACAGGTAAAAGGATTTTGATGTCTATGGCCAGGAGGGATTTTATAGTATTGTACACAGGAGGGTTGTTACCCTTCCCTTTATAGTCTTCTCTGATATTCCCTGCTCAGGTAATACAAAGATATATCTATTTGTCATACGTAATTTAGCAGGCTGAGGTACAGAACTTAGCCCCAATTTCAATGCATACTTAAAGCACCATACATTTACACTATTGCCTTAAGGTTTGTTCTGAAATCTAGGAAAGAGAATAAGTGCTGAATTCTGGCTTTTCTCACTGAGTCCAATGGTAGCTGCAGGCACATAACTAAGGGCAGAATTGGGCCCTCATTACAGTCCATCTTTTTTTTCTTATTGCTTTCAAAATTACTTTCTTAACTGACGGATCTAGGGAAAAAAATCCTGTCAGCATTAGCTCTAAGACATTGTGAGGATTATTTTAAAAAAATGTATTTATTAAAGATGAGCAGAGAGGGTTCCAGGAACTCCATGAGCTGAGTTTAAGCCTGTCAGGTAACCCTAACATCTCTTTAAATATATATAGAAAACTCCCACTCTTTTCTTTTGCTTGGCCTACTGTAAAACTAATATTCTTAGAAAATAGTTGCCCAACCTATTTTCAATATATTTGTTGTACTTGGTTCCTTGTCATCAGCCTAATCTCTCTTTCTAAAGCAGTTATTCCTTCAGGATCATAATGTCCATAGCAGAACAGACCAATGATTCACTTGTCTAGCAGCCTTTCTTTGGCTGTGTCCAATCCAAGATGTGTCAATTGAAGGCCTGAACACCCCACAATCTGCCTAATTCTGCTACATCAGGGCAACTTCATGGTGATCCCAAGATGAACAGTACTTGCCCACACAAGTGCAATAGTCTAATCCTGTTTGAACATTTACTATCTGGAGTAAAATGACAAGGGCTAACAATTCTCATGCTTCTAGACATATGCTCATCACAGATAAATGGGACTGCTTATGTAAGTGTTACCTAACGTGAGCAAGAGTTGTAGATTCAGGCCCCTGGCATAACTCTTAAATGGTGATAAAGATCCAAAAAGAAGAACACAATATCATGCAGGGAACTTGAGATGCTATAGGATTCTTTCCTTCAGTGTAAATAATTTTCTGTAGCCTCAGACTAAAGGTAAATAAATTTCAACAATAAAAGTGACGTGACACCATATTTGTATGCTGCGTAGGTAATTTTGGGACTTAAAGAAGTGAGGTCTATTGAAATGAGCTTCATTAGAAAGGTATGACACCTGGAGATCAGTATCTGATCCTGAAGCATGAGGATTATCAGCCTGTGTCATTTTACCCCAGTAAGTAAATTTCAGAACAGGATTAGATTCCTTTAATTACAACATCTGCTGTTATACTACGTTATTTGTCTCAGTAATATCTTGTGGCAACGAGTCCTGGACCTGTCTCCTAGAAATTTCCATCTAATGACTTCTTTTTAGTGTGCACATTTCTGAGCCAGGACTTCAAAATGGTTACGTTTATCCCTCAAGCCTTTCCTCCAGGGTATTAAAATGCTTCTCTTATTTTTGGAGTCTAATGATTATACCATCTGGCCTTTTTTATGCTCATTAAAACTCTTTCTACATGTCAGTGTACTTAAGGCAGAGTCTAAAGTGTGCCCGAGAGGATTTATCTGTCTGGGAAGTATGACATATCTGCTGATGCCAAGGCAGAAGAAAATGGTGCTCAAGGACACTTCAACTCTTTGATTCAATTGCCCCCCTCCCATCATTGTGTTGCCAGCACTCTCACTTTTAGCATGAATGCAGCCATTCTGGGATATTGTTAAGGGCTCCTTGTGGAAGCAGCAGCTCAAGAATTTGAGCTGAATTGTTTGCGGTTTCCCAGACAATAATAATACTTTAACTCTTCTATAGTGTATTTTATCCATAGATGTTAAGGCACTTTACAAAAGAAGGTAAATATCAGCCTCCTTTTACAGAAGATAAAACTGAGGTGCAGATAAGTAAGTTTTTTTTCCTTAAGAGGAATGGGAGTTGGAGTTAGGGATGCTGCAACAAATATTTTCCTCAAGGCACTGATTGCACAGTACTTCCCTTACCTTGCCCCATCTGTAACATTAGCGGTTTGCAGTTACTACAGTTGGTGTAGCCTGGCTTGTAGTGTCTGGAGAGGGAGTGAATGAGTCAACTGTTTTCCTCCCTTCTTCCAAAGCAGTCAGTCATAAATAGATGGTTCAACAACAAGGTGAGAGGCACATGGGCATAATTTGGAGGGGCATTGCCCCCCCAAATGCAAGCCTCTGTCAGGCACAGAATTTGTACCCCCAATACATGCCCCCATTGGCCTGACTGGAGCTGTACCCCCAAATATAGAAGTCAAACTACCTATGGATAGGCAGC